TAAAGAAATCTAACTAATAAACTAATATAATAATGCTAATAAAAATATATATAAAAATTAAGAAATAAGGTTAACAGCGTATTTGGTTTATACCTTAAAAATTTTAGGGTATAATAATTGCAGATCTGTTTCACAAAAAATATGTGTTAATTTATTTGACTATAGTTAAATTTGTGATATGTGTTTACATTTTTTGTTTATTAATAATGAAAGGAGATAAAATAAGTACTTATTCTTCAAACAAGAATATAATTTTCAAAACTTTAAGATAAACTTAAAAGTATATTATTATTAATGAAAGAGTATATCCTCCAAAATATTAAATAGTTTATATAAAAAAATTCAAATCATTTTCAATTCCAACCAATATAAAGTTAAAACTATCCATGGAAAAAAAAATATCAAATAGAATATTCTATTGAATATGTTGACAGAAAGCTCTTATATAATATCCAATTTGATAAAAATATGAAATATAATATTTGCTCAACAAATTCTTCAACAGGAGCCAGAAATAAATATATTATGATAAATATTAATAATTAAAAATAATTTATTTTAATATAATATATTAATTTTATATTATTTATAGATGTTATTTATGCTTGAAAAAAATAAAACTCTAACAGAAAAAGATATTAAAAAAATTAATAAAGATGTAACAACCTCAAGTAAAATATCAGGTGTTCAACTTTTTGAATTACAATTAAAAACAGTTGAAACTGTTCGAAAAATCCTTCAAAAGAAAGATCCAGAAATACGTCCTTTTGATAATCTTAGTAAATCCATTAAATGAAGACATATTTTATAATTAGCAAGACAGGTGTATAATGAAGTTGAACAAAACAAAGAGAATTTATTTTATTTGAAAGATAATATTTGTATTAAACAAGTTAGATTTGAAATTAATGAAAAAAATTATAATATTCATTATAAAAAATTTGACAAGGATAATGATATAAAATTGAAATATGCAATAGTTAAAATTTAGATTATGGAAGGATGCATATAGATCATTAGCAGATATTAATTAACATTTATCACATGAAAAATTAATATTAATTACACTAAAAAGAATTAATGAATTGATACAAAAAAATATTCCTATATCACTTGTAAATATTTATTAACCAATTACTTTTGAACCTATTTCTAGTCAACCATATATTACTGAATCTGAAATAATTCAAAATGTTATAGATTATTTTGAAAAAGATAGACAAAGAAGAATTATAGATATTTTAAATTATATTGAAAATTAAATTATGTATCTCTAGAGATGGAAGAAATGTAAGAAGAAAAGTCAAACATGTTATAATTACAGTAGCATTACTTAATGATATAGAAAAATTACATAAATCAGAATCTCATCATACATTAGTTTTATATTCTGGTTCTGAAAATTATGAATCACTTTATAATTCACTTGTTCCCTTAGTTTCAGATTTTCAAAATTTAAAAGAAAATGGATTTCATCAAATTGGTGATATTATTTGGAATGTAGAACTTTATTTCAATTCTGATTGAAAATTTTTAATTACTTTTTTAAGAATGAATATAGCAAATTTGAATTATTTTTGTTCATGGTGTTTATATAATAAAAGTGATCAAGGAAAATTAGATAGTAATAGAAAATTAATTGGAAATTGGATAATTACAAAAAATATTTTTAATATTAAACAAAACTTTTTACAAATTCAAGGACATATCTGTGAACCAATTTTTTATATGATTGAAATCACTAATTGGATTTGTAATGAATTGTATATAATGCTTCGTATAACATAGACTTTTTGAACTTTTTCTTTCTGATTTTAAATGAAATAGTAAATTAGGACAAATAATTCAACAGTAAATTATAATGGAAATAAGAAGATTAAAAATTAATTTTCAATTTTGGTCTGAAAAAAATTCAAATAAATTATCTTATACTTTTATGATGGGTTTAGATAAGCTTAAAGTTTTATATGAATTTAATTTTGCTTCTATTGATATAAATTATTTATCAAAAGAAAAACAATAACAACTTCAAAAATTATGGGATAATTTTGATGAACTTTATAATCTTTTGCATAGAAAAAATATTACTGAATCATATTTTCAACAAAAAGTAATTCAATGGTTAGAATATTTTCTTATACTATCAAAAGGTTATCCATATCAGAATTTTATTAAAAATTTATATAGGCCTACAGACTATACATCATATATACATGTTTTAGTTTATCTTGTTTCAGATTTTTAAATCTTCATCAAGATTTAAGTTTGATTTCTTTTTCATGTGCAGCAGTTGAAAAAAAAATCATATACAAGTTTGTCAATATTTTCAAAATACTCTTAAAGATGGTGGTCATGAAAATTCAAAAAAATCTTTGATTCTTAAAATATTAGAATATGAGAATTGATAATTATTTTATTGATTAGAAAATATTTCAAATTATTTTAAAAAAACTACTCAATATAAATTAGAAATTTAATTCCTAATTACAATTTATTATGTATTTAATAATTAAATAAATATATTAAATAAAATAAAAATATTATGAAAAAAAAAATTAATTTTAAATATTTTTTATTTAAAAAAATTAATTCACATATAAAATTTAATTATTTTACAAACATGGTATTATTTGTAGTAAAATGAAATGATATATTTTCTACAAAACAATTATATTCTGCTTTATCCCTAAACCCTTTTATTTTCCATTCTATAAATAATTCTATTTGTTTTTCTCAAATTCTTTTTTTTTCTATTTGTTTTAATTAATTCTTTGTGATTTTGATTTTCCATTTCTATATAATTATCCTGTTCTATATAGTTTTCTTGTTCTATATAATTTTGATTAATACAATTCTGATTATCTTGTTCTATATAATTTTGATTAATACAATTTTGATTATCTTGTTCTATAATATTTGTAGAATTTGAAATTAATTATATTCAACTTATTTGACCTTATCTATAATTACATTTTCCTTATTATTTATTTTTAAAAATTTCAGTTAATATATTATAAAATTCTGTACCTTTAAATCTACATTGATAAAAATTTCCATATAGTGAATACTGTTCAATAAATTGTTTAAAAATTTCAACAAACACATATTCACTATAATATATCAAAAATACTTATTTTCCCACTGTGTTATGATAATTTTTCAACTGTTTATCAACTTTATGAACCATAATCTTTTTAAGATAGTTTAATTCATATTTAGGTACTAGCAATATATATGATAGTGATATATTATAATTATAATATTTTAAGATTTCATGATGTTGAAAATTTCTATGACTTTTATAAGTTTTTTTTCTTTCACACAAGGAATATGTAAAGATAGATATTTTTATTAAACTAAAAAACAAAATACAAAGTTAATAAAAATTATGTATAATAATATTAAAGTCAAATTTTTAAAAAGGAAACTATCTCAATATTGTGATTTCAATATTACGATGAGTTTGCCTCACGGACAATAGGTTAGATGTTACTTATTCAATATAAATAAATTTGTTTTGAATTGTTACAATTTTATTTCATGTGATCAATGCAATACTGTACAAGGTTTAAAATCTTGCATTACATATAAATTTCAAGGATAGTAATCCTATAAGAGGGACCCCAGAAATTACTCTAAAAACCAAATACACTTATATGATTATCATGCCAATCACGAGATTTTGATTACCAGCCAATAAAATCGAAATTTTGATCTATCATGTCAATGTTATTCCTCACCCCCCTATTTTTACTCGAGTAAGATTGCTTTCATGTGATTACCAAATTATTATCAGGTGATTATTATGTAAAAAATAATATGTGACAAATAGGGGTTTCTAACCCTAAAAAAAACTAAGTCCAAAAAAAATATAATAAAAATTGATATTCAGGGGGCGTGATGCAATGTGACAATTATAAAGGATATGGGTGAGATTTCTCACCTGCTTATCAGTTTACAAACTATTTATTTCAACCAATCAATGACCATAATTTTCAAAAATTAAAAATTTTTTTTGATTAAAGATTTTAATTTTTTGATAACGTATAACGTATCAATCCTTCAAATTTTTTGTTGAAAAAAAAATAAAAAAAATGGTAAGCAAATTGGTTAATTTCGGGTCAATTCAATCGATTGAGAAATCCGATAACTTAAATTAAAAAAATAATTAAAATAATTGAACATTATTATTGAATTGACAATAGTCTAAGAAGCAGAAGAAAGTCAAAGTAGAAGAAAACATCTCACTTGGACCTCAAGTTCGAGAAGGAGAGCTTGTCTTTGGTGTAGCACACATATTTGCATCCTTTAATGATACTTTTGTTCACGTTACTGATTTATCTGGTCGTGAAACTATCGTTCGAGTTACCGGTAAGGAAGAAAATTTATTCATAGTTTAGTTAAATACTAGCATAATTGAGCATAATTTGAATATAATTGAAGAAATAAAATTTTTTTAGATTTTATATAATATTTTGAATTAGTAAAATTCATATAAGAAATGAATTGCAATTTAAAAATCCGGGACTAGTGGTGAAACACATAATCCTAGATTATAACAAATTGATGCAAATTTTTTGTGCCATTTCTTCTATTTCTTGCAATTTCTACTTTTTTTTGATCATAAAATATTATTATAGGTGGTATGAAGGTAAAAGCTGATCGTGATGAATCATCTCCATATGCTGCAATGTTGGCAGCTCAGGATGTTGCTGTAAAATGTAAAGAATTAGGAATTACCGCTTTACACATTAAACTCCGTGCTACTGGTGGTAATGGAACTAAAACTCCCGGTCCAGGTGCTCAATCAGCTTTAAGAGCTTTAGCTAGAGCTGGAATGAGAATTGGTAGAATTGAAGATGTTACACCTATCCCAACTGATAGCAGTATGTTTTTCATTTTTCATTTCATTTAATATATAATATATTCATTTAATATATAATATATTCATTATTTTTTTCTTTTTTTTTTAAAAAAAAAATTTTCAGCTCGTAGAAAAGGTGGTCGTAGAGGTAGACGTCTATAAGTGAAATAAGTGAAAAAAAAAATTCTAAAAACGGTTGTTGGATATTTATTTTTATTCCTTTCCCAAAGAAATAGAAAATTGCATGAGAATAATAATAATAAATGACATAATAATTTTGATTTGTTTTAAATGAATGTGATTTTTTTTTCAAGACGTTTATTATGTTGTAAAATAAATACAATTTATGAAACAAATAAGTACATAGAGGAATTTGCTATTAATTTATGGCCTGCCCATCGTTTCTCAGTAGACCTGAGAAACCGATTAGCCGAGGTCCTGTCAGATAATTTTATAATAACGCGAAGTCCCCATTATGTTGACCCTGAATGTAATATTTGATTTTATAATAATTTTATCACGTGACAATTACAATTAGGTATATCTAATTTTATTGAGATTTTCCTGCTCTCAATAATGTCTGCGCAAAAATCTAAAGAATTGCGTCGTCTTCTTTCTAAGACTTTGCAACAACGTCAGCAACAAGCTTCAACTTCATCAAAAGTTAATCATCCTTCAGCAAAATATGATAACAATAATAGACTAATTTGTATTGAATGTTCGATCCCTGTTAAAAATTCTTCATTATGGAAAGCACATTTGGCTGGTTCAGGGCATAAAGAGGCTTTGAAAAGATCAAAAGGTGTAAAAGAAAAAGTATCGGGATCTTCAACCCAATCTAAAATAAATAATAAAATTGAGAAAACACCAGAAAATTATAAGAAAAGGTCTATAGGATCGGAAAGTGATAAGATTTCCTCCGGAAAGGTCACAAGTGATATGAACTTGAAGGGGTTGATCAATTATGGTTCCGAAAGTGAAGTAGAGAATAATAATGACCAAACTATTACAAGGATCAAAAGAGTCAAGGTTAATATTGACACAGATGAACACCCCAAAGATTTCTTTGATTCAACTGATGAAAATATTAAAATAAATAAGGATAATAATAATAATAATAATAATAGTAGTAATAATAATAATAATAATAATAATAATAATAATAATAATAATAATGCTACTGATATGAACGAAATGGACATTAATAATGATTCAAAAAATGTCAAGAATTCGAAGAAGGATTCGGTGGAATTATTAGATAATCCACTTCCAGCTGACTTCTTTGATGATTCATCTAAAAATCCAGTAATTACTACTCAAGAAGAAACTATTCGTGAAATCGATGAAGAAGAATGGATGCGATTTCAAAAACTCATATCTAAAGAAACAGAAGTTAGTAATCAAATTGCATTTGCAGATGAAGAAGAATTACAACGTGATAGGGATGAAATGTTAGAACGTGAACAAGAAATGTGTTTTATGAGATCTGAACGACTGAAAGAGGCTGTTAACCGCGTTAAAGAAAGCAAGGAAAATAATATGGTTTTAGACGAAAGTGTCAAGGAGGAATTAAGTGAAAGCGATGAAGATGAGGATATAAGTGAAGATTATGAAGACGGATGGATGGATTGGAGAGCACAGAGAATTATATAATTTGTCAATTCTCAATTAACATTTTTTCATTGATTTTTATTTTCAATTTTTACAATAATAACAATTTTTGATAAATTATAATCATAAATATCATATCATATAAATTTAATTTTCAATATTGATTACAGAAATTATTATAAAGACCCAAAAATAACAGTAGAAATTCATATTTAAAATGTTTCCAAGAAATTTTTCAAGGAATTTTTCAAAAACAAATTTTCATAATAATAATATTATTATTAAATTATTTTTTTAAATCTTTAACCAACACATACCCTTTATGCTTAGAGAAATTCCAATTTTCTTTATCCAAAAGGCGGTTTATGGCTGGTGGTAATATTGCTATACCATTTGGAGAATGTTTTCCCAATCCGGTAATAATTTTCAGAGGTTTAACTGGTTTATTATCTAATAAATATTATAATAAATACAAGAATTTTTATTAAAAAAAAATTGAAAATTAAAAAACAAAAATAAAATATATAAATAATCCTCTTACTATATTTCGTCATGCTTTTTTTATACCACTTATTTAATTTTTCTTTGGTAACTGTTTCCGCTTCTTTCACAGTCAACCCATGTAGATCAAGAATATAATCATTTCCCCCCGATTTACTTTTAAATGAAAAGGAACCAATCGAGTTTTCTTTTATCAATCAAGTTGTACATTTACCCATATTGCATATTTTATTGATTGACATACATACCACTTTCGCTGTACCATGGACCTTGCAGCTCTCAAGTTCCATTTTTTCATTTCCGCATCAAATTTTTGTCCCTAATAAAAATAAATATTGTCTGTTAACTTAATTAAATCTTTTATAATATTTCAATATCAGATCTTAAATCTTACTTCTGTAGAATAATGAAAAGAAATTCCACCATCTCCATTACGTGAACTCTTTGATTTTTTAAATGCATTAAAAGCATTTTTGAAAGCTTCATTACGTCTTATCTTATAATCTTGAGCCATTTGACGACAATATTGAGGATCATATTCTTCATATTCCTCATCGTCTTCAGAACTAACATCTTCTAAATTATAGAATCTTGTAGTTGCAGGAGAATTTTTGGTTATGGTTGGAATAGAAGTAATAGAAGCGAAATTTGAGCTAATTTTCTTTTGATTTTTTTTTGGTCTGGTAACAACTTGAAATTCATCAGTTTTATCGGTTTCAGCTTTAATATTAAGTTCCATCTTCTTAGGTAAAATCGTTCGTTGCTGAATTTGTGATGATTTATTTGATTGATTTGGACGCGCCATATTAAATTCTTCGGGATCCAATAATAAATTAATAGCATTTTCTAATGAACCATTAGCTGCCACCAGGGAAGCTTCCAATAATTGAATTTCATGATTTGAAAACAAATTAATTAATTGACTTAAATTATAATCCATTGATTCTTGTTGACCATCATCATATTCATAATTTACTTCGGGTGAGGACGAATTATTATGAGACAAATCTTGATGGGGTTTTAAGGAACCATTTTGAAAAATAATTTTCTTTTGGTTCGGTTTCTTTCGTCTTTTCTTTTTACGATGTTTGGTGCGAGATTCAGTAATTAAGGAATTGTGATCATTTTCATCGCTTTTCAATGTTAAATAAGAAGAAGATGATGGTGAAGGTGCATACGGTTGTGTCAATTCTTTTTCTCGTTCAACCTCATTTAGAATAACATTCAAAACAATTTCGGTATCATTATTATTTTCTTGAAATAAGGATTTAATCTTTGTTTCAGAAAGCATAGGGAAACAAGACTTCAAAAATTCAGTGGGAGTTTCAATAGTTGAATGTTGGTCTTCGAAAAGATTATAATTATATTGTTCAATTTCTTCATCTAAAAGGATCTCATCATTAGTCAGACAGATACTTTCGGAATCATAACCTTCACTAAAACTGAGACCATCCATTAGAAATTCGAGACTGGTAATCGAACCATCACCTTTATCTGAAAGAAATTTAAATATTTTATATAATAAAAATATAAATACTTCTTTGTGAATAATATGAATAATAATATGAATAATAATATGATTATCTCACCATTTTCACCTGAACTTGGTTCACTTGAACAACTTGAACCACTTTTGTAATTATTATTAGCATTTTCAGAAAAAATTTCTGATTCACAGACTCGTTCGGAATCCAAAACAGGATTTGCTTCTTTAGCCAAAGAATCAAGTACTTCATAACATTCATTGATATCATCGTAGTCATTACTTATGACAGCAATTAAGGCAGAGTCGAGTGGTGGGCAAAATAAAGACTATTTTGATAATATTTAAAATAACAAAATAATATATAAAATGTATAGGAAATCATCATTGAGTTAATATTTTATTTTGAAAACTACAAAATGAACCTTTTATTTTTTTATTTTATTTTTTTTTTTTATTTTATTTTACCATAAAATTTCAATTTTCGAAACTTGTTTTCTCCATTATCGAAATAAACTGAATTTTTAATTGAACAATACGTAAAATATAAAATATATCATAAACAACGCGAGCTAATAACATGTATGCTAATAACACGAGTGTTAATAACACACATGCTAATAACTTTATATATCAATAATACGCAAGTAATAATACGCAAGCTAATACGTGTGAAATTGAACTAACTTTATTTTCAAAAGACAATTGAAACTCTTAATATATGTTTTAAAACTAAGATCAAAAAGAAACATTTTTATTCCCATTTCTCACCTCTAAAGTTGCCTTTTTTTGGAAAGAATTTAAAGAGTTCATTTTTTATAAAATGGTTTCGTAATTTCAGAATGTTAAAATGTTAAAAGTATATCTTTGTGTATGACAGGTCTGAAATTGAATATGAAGGATAAACAACATTCGTACCACGATACATTGTCACGTAAATAATAGACTTGTGACTAATCTTTGCATAAGGTGTTATGTAAATGTCTATCAATGCTATGATTGTTAAACAAGATACTTTAAAAAAAGTGATCTTCATAAATTAAACTGATCACATTTTATTTGAATTTTTTTTTTGTTAAAGAAAATTACAAACATACAAATAAATTTATTATTAACACGGATTATTAATTTTATCATGTGTTCCTTTAAAAACTTAACCACTTTTACCAAGACCATACTTTTCAGCAACTTTGGTAACATCTTGTAATCCAGTCAAGTCTCCTTGAACAATTACTGAAATTTTACCTGTACCATTTCCTTCGTTATGAACTTGACCTCTTACAACCATTTTTGCAACTCTTACAAGATCATCTAATGAAACATCATCAATTTTTTTACACATTACTTCTGCAGGAACTTTATATCCAAGAACTTGAACCTGAAATATATTCAATATATTCTCATCAAAAAAAAATAGAAATAAATCGAAATAAATATAATAAATTAAAATATAAATATTAAATCTAAAAAATAGATACAAACCTGTCTACCCAGATCTTCTAATTGAACCATCCTTGATTCTAAATTCATGAGCAAACTACTTTTCAGTTGATTTTTTGCTCGTATGAATTCCGCTTGAGTTACATTTTTACGTCCATAACTTGAAACATTATCAAATTGTTGAGCAATAACTTCCAATACAGTATGATTATATTCCGGTCGACATGATGCCATAATACCAAAAAGACCTGAATCAGTATAACAATGATTAAAGCACATGCATGATTCCATCCATGGATATTGATTGAGAACATCTGTGAAAAGACGTGTGTACATTCCTTTCCCAGGTCCTCCAGCTGAAAATGATCCTCCTCCACCAAGTAATATTTGAAGTACTGCAAGTGCATATATATCCGGATCATGTATTGAAAGTCCTTCAAATGCCATATAAACATGTGTATGTGGAAGAGGTTGATTAATCATCAGGGTTCCTCCTGTATAATGTGCTTTTTGAATTGTGGTAGATGTTATTGGAACTTTCGATTTAAGTAAAGATGTTGCTGCTGTAGTAATTGTTTTGTATAAAGATGATTTAGATTGTTTATAATTTGGTGCTGTGACTGAATATGATGATATTGGTTGTTGAACATTAAAATCTGGAGATTTAGGCATATCTCCAAAATATTTCCATGCCTTTTCCAACACTTCTTCATGATTTGCACCGGCAGCTGCTATGACCATTTGTTCTGGACGATACCAAGTTAATATATAATCCTTTATCATTTGAGGTGTCATTATACTTAATCTATCTTCAGGACATAACATCGGATTCCCTAATGTGTTATCTTTATATGCTACAGTATGAAGTAATTCTGGTAAAATCATTTCAGGTTTTTGCCAAATTTCTTGAATTTCATACAATGCAGTTTGTTTTTGTTCGGCTACTTCCTCTGGCTTAATTAGAGGATTACGAATTACATCCGCAAAGAGTGCTAAAACTTTAGTTAAATCTTGAGTAAAAATAGCTGATTGATACATAATAGTTTCACGACTACTGGCACACATAACGTTGCCTCCTAATGATTCTGTTATATTTTGTATTTGTTCATTTGTATAAGTAGTTGTACTCTGAAAAAAAAAAAAAAAAGTATTAAAAAAATCTTTATAATAAATAAATTATTTATTATTATTTCGAATTTTTAGAATTTTTTAAAAAACTCGAATGGGGGTACCTTAAAAGCCAATCGATCTAAAATATGGGATACTCCAATAGTATTTGCTGTTTCGTACCTTGATCCTGCGTCCACGTATACTCCAACTGCTATGAAATGTCCAGGCGTGTTTTCCGTTGTAACACGCATACCATTTGGTAATGTTGATATTTTAGTAATACCATTATTCATTTGTTTCGAATTCTCAAAATTCTTTAAATTAAAATGTTTAAATGAATAATTTTTTTTTTTTTAGAAATAATTTAAATAATTTCGAAAGTCAAAGAAAAACCTTGTTTTCCGCATTTTCAGCACCCGTTAACTTCGAGATTGAAGTAGCATTTCGAATTCCAATTTTTCTTAAATTATAAAACCTTTGAAAACCATTTATTCCTTTTTTAACGAGTTGCTTTGAGAACATTGTCAAAAAAAAAAACAAAAATGAGTTGAGAAAAGCAAAAAAATCTCAGATAATCATATTTAATTATAATTTACCCGATAATCTTACCCAAGTCACCAGTAGAATTTCTTTTTACTCGACCTCTATAAATGCACTCCCCGGGAATCAGCATTAGGGTGCATTTATAGAGATTTATACCTTATAGAGGGCGTATTATAGAGGGGTGTACCTTATAGAGGATGCATTTATAGAGGGTTCACTGTATTATATTTATATTTATCAGAAAATACAAATACTTATTTGTTATCAAGTTGAAAAAAATTACTAATTTTTAAATCAAAATAGAAATTTTTTAGTGTACAAATAAAAATATCTCATAGAACATGATTAGAGCTACAGAATAATGTTTAGATTATTCAAATTGAATTGTTAGATTAAAAGTTATAAGCATTTAAAGTACATGATTTTTATATGATTAGTGCTAATATTCAGTCATGTAAAGGCCGAAATTTGTAAATTTTCTAACTTTTGCTTTTAATTTTCAAAATTTGCTCTAACTTTATTAACTTTTATTGGCCAATTAATATATGTATACAATATATTAAACCATACAATTGCAACATGTTGATGATTTATCATGTCCCTTACTATACAAAAGTTACTCTATAATAGTAAGCTGTAATTTAACCTGAAATTTTAAGCCAAAATAAAATTAAGGCCTTTATAATCAATTTAATAATAATAAAAAGTAAAGTAAAAATTAAAATAAATTAATATAACATATCTAGATTAAAAGTATAAAATTATATATAATAATATTATAATTTATAAATTTATAAAAAATTTTTAAAAGTAATAAATGTCAAAATATCAATACAAAAATAAATATCAAAAGTAATTCTATATTTTGAGAAAATTCCAGGAAAGGGAAAGAGATCTTTTTTTTTACCGATTCACAGTTACACATTTTTATTATATAAAATTATTTTGCCACATTGGTATATAAATCAAATCTTCTTTGATCATTTAAAGGAATCGATTCACGAATATGATCGAAACGATTTAAATCTATAATAAAGGAATTAACAATAAATAAGTTAATAATAAAAAATCAATAATAAATAAGTTAAAAAATAATAAATAAAAATATATTACCGATTTCTGCATAGATAATATCTTCTTCGTGATCTGTAGTTGCAACAATTTGACCACTATCATTTTTTATTTATATAAATAAAAATATAGATAATAGTATAAATAAAAGTATAGATAGTATAGATAAGATGAATTATAATAATAAATTATGATTTTTATTACTTTGGATCAACCACAGTTGAATGACCCCATGCATTATAAGTTGCATTCATATCCCTGGCTGGAGAACATGTCGCAACGTAAATCTTATATAATATGATAATATGATAATATAATATAGTATTAATAATAATAATATTAATAATGTAATATAGTATTAATAATAATGTAATATAATAATTACTTGATTATCTAATGCTCTCGCTCTTTGTAAAACTAAAAATTAGTATAATTAGTATGAGAAAGTATACAAGTGAGTATATAAATAACAAGAAAATAAAGTTTATCTATTATGATTATGTTATTTACGCGTAAATCTAACTAACTTACGTTCCCAATGTAATGGACCAGTGATAAGATTAAAAGCACCAGGATAAATCATTGCAACACATCCTAAAAGTGGATGAATTAAATAGATGAATAAATTTTAATATAATTTATAATAGTCTACTACAGTTAATGATTTACCTTTTCTAGCAGCAATCATAGCCATCTCTGGAAATCTAATATCATAGCATATACCAATTCCAATCTTGCCATATTCTATAATTTTTAATTATTAATTAATATAATTAATATAATAATTACTATAATTACTACTATAATTAATATAATAATTAAGATATTAACCAGTATCAAAATGTGTTAAAGAATTCCCGGGATCTAAAGTTTTACTCTCTTGAAAAGTAATCCTTCCAGGAATGTCAATGTCGAATAAATGAACTTTATGATGTTTTGCAATTAAATTTCCTAATAAATATATTTATATAATAATAATAATAATAATAATAATAATAATAATAATAATAAATTAATTAGTTATATTTAAAATGATTGATTAAATAAATTTATAATAAATTTATACCTTCAGGATCATAAACAGTGCAAGTATTATACAATTTTTTGGTTGTTTCATCTCTTTCTGGAATTGATCCACCAATAATGTATGCTTTAGTTTCCTTTAATTAATAATAATTAATATAAATCAAAATTTATTATTATATTAATATTATCAAAATTATTATTATTATTGTTATTATTGTACATACTTTTGCTGCTTCAGAAAGAGTCTTGATACTTTCTCCATTAGGAATAAATTCAGCATATTGATCAAAATATTGTGTTCCATAAGGTGAATTGAAACATTCCTGATTATTAAATCATAATTATTTATTATTATTATTATTATTAAAATGTAAACAATTAGAAATATTTAAAATAATTTAAATAATTATAATATACCGGCAATACAATAAGTTTTGCACCATTTTTGGAAGCTTCTATTATTTTATTTTTTGCTCTTTTGAGATTTTCAGGTTTATCAGATGTAACACTTAATTGAATACAGGCAATTTTAAAAGTAGTAGTAGTCATTGTTGAAAAAAATTTAAATGGATTATTATTCTTATTATTTTTATGTAAATTTATTAATAAATTAAATTTATTATTAGGTTTCCTTCTCACAAATGAAGTAATTCGATATAAAAGCATGAAGAAAGAAAAAAAGAAATGAAATGAAAAAGATTATCCTAAAATTCCTAAAATTGATTGATTGCCAATTTTTATACTTTTTTGAAGATCGAACTCTGTGTAGATATTATTATTGATTTTCTTCATTAACCAAAAAATCCAAATTTAAAACTATTCTGTGTTTCATTTTCATCACATTTCTTAACTTTATCCCATATCAATGGTTTGTTATTATTATTATTATTAGTATTATCCAATTTATCATCCAATTTATTATTCAATTTATTATCCAATTTATTATCCAATTTATTATCCAATTTATCATCCAATTTATCATTTAATTTATTATCTAATTTATTATCTAATTTATCATCTAATTCCTTTAATATTCCAGGATAATTTTGTTGAAATTTTTCACGAAATGAATTATAAATTTCTTCTCGATTTGGCCATGATTCAGATGAAAATCCAGAAATTTGATTTGGTTTATCACGAAGGAATTGAAGTACATTTAATAAATTATGTGAACCTACAAAATTTTGTGTCTAAATAAAATATAAATAAAATGAATATAAAATGAATATAAAATAATATCTGATAAATAAAATATATAATATCTGATACAAATAAATACAAAATAAAAATAAATAATTACATACAATTGCAATGGAATCTTCCAGATTTATCACCATATGCCACCATCCATTTGGTACAAAAATTATTTCACCAGCACGACAAATTCCTTCTAATGGTTTTATCTTTAATTTCTGTGCTTCTTTATAATAATTTAAATACCATTCCATCAACGAGAATGGAGCTGTAACCTCGGCTTCATCTATTTATATTATATTTATATATTAATATTTATATTTATTAATAATTATTTTAATAGTAATAATTTAAATATACATACCGGGACTAGTAAAAACACCTGGTGGACAAATGTCAGGTGGGAACATTATCCATTTCTTAGATCCTTTTATTACAGCATTCCAGGCTGATGTAGAATTTGGATCTTTATGAAAAGTAGAACCTGATCGTGATGGACCGATAATTATCCATCTAAATGAATGAATAAATAATAATAATAATAATAATAATAATAATTAAAATAATAATTAAATTAATAATTAAAATTAAATAATAATAATATAATAATTAAATAATTTTACCTATAATCAGGTCTTTTATCCAATACATTAAAAAAATCTTCAGCAAAATAATCCGGTACCCAAAAATCATCAAGAATTCCTTGACATTTTTCACCAAATTTTTTATCAAATAAATATAATGGATTTTCATCTAGATTATTCTTTAAATATCTTTCATATTCTTTTAATTTAATATTAATTGCTTCAGCTCTAAATTTAATATTTCCATATTTTTTTTTTAATGATTTCATTGACCATTTATTATATGCTGGCCATTTTGTAACTATATCTGTAATTATTACTGGTAAATTGGGTTTAGCATATTTATTATTAAATTCATCTAAACTTAAATTTGAACACTTATCTATATTTTCTTTACTTATAAATTGATTATCCATTCTTATTGACTGATAAAGAATTGGTTGATATAATATATCACTATAAAAATTATTTACAATATTATTAATAATAATCATATTATCATCAGCATCATCATCAGTATAATAATCATCATAATCATCATCATCATCATTGTTATCATCTTCATTAATAATAATATTATTATCATTATTAATATCTTCACTAAAAATATTATCATCATTAATAATATTATTGTTATGATTGTTATTATTTTTCAAATAAGTTAATCTCCAATTTCCTTTCCATTTCCAATTTCCATTTCCTCCATTATTATAACATTTCTCAATTATAAATATTTTCTTCCATAATTCATCAAATGTAGAAAAGCAATAAAATATTTTACTAGTAAATGCTATTGATAAAAGATATTTTGTTGATAATAATCCAAGAGTTTCTAAAATTTCCAAAATCAATTCATCATTTAAACAAGAAATAATTCCTAATCCCGATTCTCTACTAGAATTATTATTAATAATAATATTATTATTGATATTATTATTATTATTATTATTATTATTATTATTATTATTATTATTATTATTATTATTATTATTATTATTATTATT